TATTTTCATAAAAACACAATTATGATAATTAAATAAAAAATTTCTTTTTCTTCTTCTCCAACATCTTCTTCACCCCACCCCCATCAACCCCACCGAGCAAAACCAGTAGCCATCACCACCTTTGCCATTACATCTTCCCCAACTATTCTTCCTTTTTCTTCCATTAAATCGAACCAACCTTCTTGGAACAATTTTCAGATCTCAAACTTCAAAATTGCTTGAAAATGGTGAAAGTCCTATGATTTTTAATACTCACAATTTTTGGATTGAAGTCATCCGTTGGGAGGTGGCCAAGAGTCCAAGTAAGTGGTGGAAGTCCAAATAAATGGTGCCCAAAAATATTAAAGCTTCAAGCTTCAGCAATAATGGTGGAAGTCCTAGGAATTTTTTCCAAGTATTTATGTTTGTACAATTTGGTTTGTTGGAAATTTTATGCTTTAGATACTAAACACTAGGTGAAGGAGAAAAAATAATGGTTGTGCTGTGGCCTGTGGGTTATGTGTTTGAGTGTGGAAAGGAGGAGATTTTTCTGGATTGATTCCCAATTTGGCAAGTAGGGAAATATAACGAGTTTGCGAACTTGCAACAGATGAATCTCATTTAAATATGAGACAACTGTGAGAAGGTTTGATAGGGTTTTGGTGGATGCCCGCGGCGGGCGACGTGGTGGATTTTTTGGTTGAATTTAGGAGGTAGGGTGTGGGGGTGGGCGTGGGAATGAGAAGATGAATAATAATTGAGTTTTTTATTTTATTTTTTTTTCCCTTCATTTTAAAGCATTAAAATAAAATATTTTAATATAAATCATCATCAATGACGAGACATATTAATTAATGGAATGTTGAAGATAAAAATGCGACGAAAAAAATTAAAAATTAAATACCATAACGAGCAAAAATTGGGAAATTTAACTGCGATTAAAATATGGTGCATCAAATAAAAATTGATATGACAGTATGACCACCCTTATGAATAGATAAAAAGAAGTTAATCCATTATTATCTTTAATAAAATACAAGTCAAATTATTTTGTACTATATCATGCTCGTGTTTGCTAGTGGGTGGCAATGGCTTAGGATGGGTTTGGTGGGGGTGTTGAAGGGACGAGTGAGTGAGCGAGCGAGCTTGGTTAAGATAAACAAGGCTGCTACATGTCGGGGGACAGACCACTATCCAATATGGGGGGTCACATGGCCCCCGGATGGCCATCTAGCCTTTTGTGATATAAATTATGCATTAATACGTATTTAATTATTTTAAATGAACTTAAATGTACTTTTTGAAATTATGGGACTATTTATAATTTTTCCATATTTTTTGTTGTTATACTCTTTCTTTTATGTCCCGTTTGATAGCACAAATTTTTTATGGAAAATGAAATTTTTTTTTTATTTTTCAACTTTTGTAGTATTTGATATGCAAATTTTCCAACTTTCCAAATTTTTCACATTTTTAAGAAAAATAAATTCTTGATATTTTGCATTTTTTTTTTTTTGCAATCAGAAAAAATTATACACGATGGTAAAAAAACAAAATTCACTTTTATTGACAATTTCCATACAAAACAAAGCTAAACGAATGATATTCGGTATGGTTATTATTTTTTTTGGACAATTGGAACAAATTCTAGACCCAATGGTAGAAAATATTATCACTTTAATAGACATTTTTATTAAAAACGAAGTCAAACGAATACCAAACTTTAAACATTTTCTATGGAAAATTATATCAATAAAATACAATTAATTATAATTCTTAGTAAAACAATTTCTTGACAAATCAATTCCCTATAAAACATTTTATTTCCACCCATTTTTCACATTTGTAATCAAACGGACCCTTACATTAGTTTATTTAGAAGAGGGCAAGTTTGTTATTTAATAATCAATATACAAGGAAAGACGAATTTTATTATACCCTTGTTTGACAGTGATTAAATTATAGATTTTATCAAAGTTAAAGTTAATAATTAATTTTAATATGTATCTCATGAGATTCACAATTTTTTAATTACACATTATTTCAAAATCTATTAAAAATCTAACGTTGATCCTCACTTATGACTTAACAACAACTGTACAATTGAAAAGGATGAGAATGGATTATACTAAAAAATTGAGAGTAGATTAGTTACATTCATGAAGATTGAGGATGAAAAGTGCAAATTTCCCTAATTTCAACTGTTTAACGTTTTTATTTGATTTTCGATTTCCGTGTCAAGCAAGCATCGATACAACACAGCACCCACTGCACACTCACCCAATTTCTTTACCAATGGGCAAAGCCAATTTTTAATTTTTTCTTGAAATCCCTCCTTTTTGTACCTTTAATTTTGCTAAACTTTGCTTGGATTCTAATCTTCCGTTTTCACTTCCTATCAAACCTAACACAATTATTTTAATTTACTTACACTCATCTCAGATTTTCATTTTTTCTGTTGAAAAAGAGAGAGCACAGAGTATTTCACTCGAAGGATTTGTTGATTTTGGTAATAATATATCTAGGAGTGAAGATGGGACAAGAGGTGGTTGCGGCGGCTGTGGTTCGGACGCCGGCGCCGACATCTTTGGCTCCGGGGTTCAGATTTCATCCAACCGATGAGGAGTTAGTGAGGTACTATCTGAGAAGAAAGGCCTGCGGAAAGCCCTTTCGATTTCAAGCCGTTTCTGAAATTGATGTTTACAAATCTGAACCCTGGGAACTTGCCGGTACAGATATCTATCTATACGCACATAAAACACGTATACATACATATGCATGTGTATATAAAATCGAAATCATAGGCATCTTATGAATGGTTTTTCAAGTTTTTTCTAATATTATTTTTGGGTGAATTTATGAGTTTTTATTTTTTCAGGTTTAGATGCTTAATTTTTCGAAATTATAATTTATTTGGATATACGTGCTTGTGTTCCCCCCAAATTGTAAGGCGTTAATTTGTTGTGGGATTTTAATTTTGCAGAATGTGGATATGTGGGATGATTTTTGGTTGCGCTTAATAAGCTTTCAAGTATGGCCAAACATGCTGAAACTTTTGTTGTACAAATAAAATGATGATGAGATTTGGGAAATTAGACACAATGAAGATATATCCATTAGTATATAAGATGCAAAACGTGATAAAGTTTGATTTTTTAAAGAAAAAATTGTGGAAAAAGAAAGCAGGGTTGGAAAGTATTTATAAACGATTTAAATTATAAATAGATAGAAATGATGGTAGGATAAGTGGGTTCCTCAAAATGTGTGGATAAAATGTTACTCGAGAGCTTATGTTGAAATAACAAAATGCTTTAAAGGGAAGAACTTTGAAACTTTCAAATATAATAAGATGAGAAGTTATAATGATTTAGAAGGAAAAAAATAGATAGGAATATTGATGCTACTGCTTAAATTCACGTGTTTTGGTACATCATTTGGGAACAAGGGATTTCGATTAACGGTATCATCAGCATTTTTAAGTCTTTTGGAGTGAATTCTGTGCTTCTGTTGGCGGTCATTAAATTTTCGATGCAAAATACAAAAGAGGAGTGAATGCTTTATTTTTTGCCATTTTTTCATTTGTGAATTGTTTCCATGTCTACTTGTCATCTGCAAAGTTTTTCGTGCCATTTTGCTAATGAAATGTCTCGTGATCTTTTCCTTAAAAGACTATTCATCACTGAAGACTAGAGATCTGGAATGGTACTTTTTCAGCCCTGTGGATAGGAAGTATGGAAATGGATCAAGGCTCAATCGTGCCACTGGCAAAGGATACTGGAAAGCCACCGGGAAGGATCGGCCTGTGCGTCATAAAAATGAAACTATTGGAATGAAGAAAACCCTAGTTTTCCATAGTGGTCGTGCTCCTGATGGCAAGAGAACAAATTGGGTAATGCACGAGTATCGACTAGCTGATGTAGAATTGGAAAGGGCCAGAGTAGTACAGGTGTGATTTCAGAATTTCAATTGGGAAATTTGCACTATTGGTCCCCAATATATTGTCCGAGCAAGTTGTTCCCACACTTGAGCAAGTTGGTCATCAACCCTTCATTATAGTTGAAGTTGTTCCCACCCTTTAAAAGGGAACAAGTTGGTCATCAACCTTTCATTATAGTTGCAAAATAGTTCTCAACAACGGAATTGTCGCTTGGCGTCCACATGTCCAACTTTAGGACAAAAATTTGAAGTGAGACAATTAGTTGAGAACTAAGTCACCAACTTGTTCCTTTTTGAAGGTTGGGGACCAACTTTATACTCCTTCATTTGATTGGGGTCCAGTGCAAAGATTATCCCTTTTCTATTTACTGCATGTTAAACTTTTTCTCTTTCTTGAAAGTTCTGAATTTTAAAAATGGAATTCCTTTCGCTGTTTCGGGAGAGAAAAGGATGCATTTGTGCTATGTAGAATTTTCCAGAAGAGTGGTCTAGGACCACCCAATGGGGACCGATATGCTCCTTTTATTGATGAGGAATGGGATGATGAGGCTGCCCTTGTGGTTCCTGGAGGAGAGGCTGAAGATGAGTTGGCCAATGGTGATGAAGCACGAGATGTGCGCAACGACAATGACCAGGTTTGCCTGTTTGCATTAAATGAACCTGCTGCTTTGTCGTATATTTCAATTGTATTTAAGACTAGTAAGAACCAGAACAAAGGGACAATGCATACATTGAATAGGAATTTATTGTTTTTTAAGCTTTTGTGCAGAGTTTTCTAGTCTCGGGAGTATCTGCTATATTTTCTCGGAATTGAAAATAAATTCTTGCCATGGGAACAAAATATGTTATATGTATTTTCTCCCCAGATAACCGCAGACAGAAAATGGTTTAAAGCATGTATTGTTCCTGTATCTTTTTGCTAATTATCTCTGGTACATTGCATTTCCTGATAAACACACTAAAGTTCTTGTGCAGAAAGTGTCTGGGGACAATTATTACTTAGCTAACTAGCAACAGATTGATGGTTTTTATAGTGAACAAATCTTTTCAGCTAGTTTCTTGTTCATTTCAGCTTAGCTTTTCAACTATCTTCTTGACTTATTTGGAAGAGGGGGAAAACACCCACTCACATGTACAGAGAGGGAGGGAGGGAGGATGGATTTTCACATTTGCTAAGTTCGGAATCATGTTAATTAGATCCTTAGATTTCTGAAGGAGAGTTAAGACTAGATCTTGTAAAACTATAAATTATAATTAAAAGGGAAAATGCATTAATTCTGATTCTGCATGGAGAAAGGAGGAAAATTCACATTCACTATTGTTTGCTGTCATTTTTGATATTAATAAAAATATCCCTCCTTAGAAGGCCTTAGTTCTTTCAGCGTTAATATGTTTTTATAGGTGACCTTTAATTTTTGTCTTTTTTGTTTTTGCAGGAAAATAACTCTCTCAGCATGGTTCCTCTCCAAATTGAGAATCTGCCTGAGTCACAGAGTCTTTCATATGTTTGCAAGAGGGAGAGGTCAGAGGATCCTGAACTCCTCTCTCTGGCTCAAAGTAAAAGATTGAAGCAAGGTGATCCAAATGCGAGCCATGCAAATGGATCCGAAGATTCAACGACAACTAGCCAGGAACCCCAAACAATGACAATGACAATGACGACAAATTCCTCCCGTGCACTTTTGGAATTTCCTCTGTTAGAATCCAAAGAAAGTCATCCTGTCAACCCTCCTACATTCGATTCTTCCAATCTTGAGAAATCTGTGCCTCCTGGATATTTAAAATTTATCAGCAATTTAGAGAATGGGATCCTAAATGTTTCCATGGAAAGGGAGACACTTAAGATCGAAGTGATGAGAGCCCAAGCCATGATTAATGTTCTCCAGTCACGCATTGATCTCTTGAGCAAAGAAAATGAGGATTTAAGAAGATTCGTCCGAGAGGGCTAAGATTCTAGTTTCGGCTTGAACTCGTGTAAGATTCTCCAGTTGCATATGGTTTTTGGGAAAAGAAAACGAGTAATGGATCTTCCGAGACATCTTAGCTGTTTGTAGCACCTGCATTACCTGCATGTAGTTGTTTAATGTAATATGATGTAATGTAACTTCTGTCATCTTGATGCTCATGACTTCTTTAAGAACTAAATAAAGAAATCTGAACTCTGATTGTTTTCTCTGTAGTTAATTTCAGTAGCAGCACAAGCGGGCACCAGTACTTACAGCTTGTTTATTCTCAATGGTCATCAAGTCTTGAATTTACGGTCATCTGTGGAGAGATTTTTACGGAGAGACTAGAGATGGAAGTTAATGCACCGGGAAATTGTAATGTTTAGTTTGGAGTATCGGAGAAAATTACCTTTTAGCTTCGCTTTACAGAACAAGTGTTCAAAACATGGTTTGGCATGGCTTGGACATAGCTGTGCCTTGGCTAACCATTGTCCTGTGTGTGGCCGTGCTGGGTTTGGCATTTAAAAAGGCTGGCTTGGTGACCGTTAAGCAGGGGTAGAGCCATGGGAAACAAATTTTTTTTTTTTTTTTTTTTTTAATCTGGGCCGACACATTGAAAAAAAAAAAAAAAAAAAAAAAATCATTAGAAACAAAAATAATTGGGCTTGGGGACCAAAACCCCCGAAAGAACTAAATAAAGAAATCTGAACTCTGATTGTTTTCTCTGTAGTTAATTTCAGTAGCAGCACAAGCGGGCACCAGTACTTACAGCTTGTTTATTCTCAATGGTCATCAAGTCTTGAATTTACGGCCATCTGTGGAGAGATTTTTACGGAGAGACTTGAGGTAGAAGTTAATGCACCGGGAAAGTGCAATGTTTAGTTTGGAGTATTGGAGAAAATTACCTTCTAGCTTCGCTTTACAGAACAATAGTGTTCAAAACATGGTTTGGCATGGCTTGGACATAGCTGTGCCTTGGCTAACCATTGTCCTGTGGGTGGCCGTGCTGGGTTTGGCATTTAAAAAGGCTGGCTTGGTGACCGTTAAGCAGGGGTAGAGCCATGGGAAACAATTTTTCTTTTTTTTTTTTTAATCTGGGCTGACACATTGAAAAAAAAAAAAAAAAACGAAAAATCATTAGAAACAAAAATAATTGGGCTTGGGTGTCGTTAAGTGGCTGTCTACAATTTTAAGTTAGGTAAACGTGGTGTGGAATTTCAACACTGACATTGACATCTTTCATCTCGTGTAATTGGGTTCGCATATTGGGGAGACCTTAGTGATGTCAACGAGTCGAGCCGAAAAAAAAAATCTCGAGCCGAGCCCGAGCTTTTTTTGGCCCGAGCCGAGCCGAGCCCATCCTAAAAAAATGAGGCTCGGCCCGAGCCTTAGCGGGCCAGCCGGCTCAATTTTTCTTTTTTTTTTTTTTTGTTTTCTTTCCTAGCTGCTGCCTGAACTGCAGGCAGGTAGTGCCTGCTGCAGGCAGCTTGTGCATTGCGAGCTGCCTGCAGCCAGGCAGCAAGCTGCCTTCCAATTTTTTTTTTTTATTAGGAGGCGCGCCCGGGTCATGAGCCGGCTCGGGCTCGAGCCGACTCTCCAAAGTGGGGCTGGCCCGAGCCTGGGCTCTGTGGAGTCGGGCCCGGCTCGAGCTTTTTTCGAGTCGAGCCCTAACCGTCCGAACCTCCGAGCTTTTTTGCCACCGTTAGGAGACCTAGAACCTCAACGTTGGTGATCCAAAAGGACCAAGACCACACTAATTAAGAGATTAGGAGCCTAAGCCTAATTTCCCTAATTTATGTATTGACTAAGCCACTCTTTGGTACCGATTAAAACTCGAATTTTAATTTAAGTCAGTGTTAACAATTAATTTTAATCATATATTTTATGAGTCCTATAATTTTTCAACCATACATTTCATTAATTTTTATCAAAATTTACTAAAAATCTAATTTTAGTTCCTACCAAACAGGAGGTTAACTTTATTTTCACTTTAAAAGCAGGGATAATTTACTTTTTTCACTTAAAGTTTATATTAAGTTAATCACTAAATTTTAAAAGAGGAAATTACACCTAGCCCTACTTTTAGATTTCTATTTTCATTAATCATATATCAAGTTTAACTTTTCTAAAATCAGGTTTATTTTAATTTATTAGATATTAATTATATTATTTTCACCACAATTAAAATAACCATAATCTAACCTAAAACTCATTTCTCTCCTCCACTGGATTATCTCCTCCCGCCGCCGCCTTCTTCTCCACTCGGTTTCTCCTCCATCTCTCCTCCACTGGGTTAATTGTGGTGTTTGTATGTTAATTTGTGTTGCAGATCTGGGGTGGTTTCGGGCGGTGGTTGTGTGTTATGGGTGTGATGTGTTTTCTGTGTTTTAGTGGTGGTTCTGCATTTTGGTAGCCATCCGGCGGTGGTGGTGGTGTTTTTGTGTGGTGGTAGTGGTGTTTTTTGTGTGGGGTATTGGTTGTTGCGAGAGTGGCATTGGAACTGGTAGTCGTGAGATGGTGGCGGTTTTGTGCCGGTGAGGATATTGTTGGTGGTCTGTGACCAAGTATTTGGTTATCTGTGACCAAGTATTTAACTGTGACCTAAAATTTTGACCATGTGACCAAAAATTATTAATTGTGACCTAAAAATTATTAATTGTGACCAATAAATTGATAAATTGTGACCTAAATAAGTATTGTGACTTATAAATTTTGGGATTTGTGACCGATGAACAAATTGTGACTTAAATTTCTAAGTTGTGACCAATAAAGGAATTATGACCTATGAAAATTTTGAATTGTGACCTAATTGTATAGATCTGTGACCTCAACATATTATCCGAAATCGGATCAGTGATCGGAAAAGTCGTCGGAGTAGTCGCTGGAGAAGAGTGGTGACCAGAACGGTCGCCGAAATATGCCCGGAGTTGAAGGGGTGGTGGAGGTGGGGGGGTTGGTTAATTATTTTATAGTAGAATTAAATATTAATAATAAATTAATTTAATAATTATTATTTCATAATTAAAAATTTTAAAAAACCTGATTTTTGAAATTTGAAACATGTTTTGGTATTTTTGAAATNTTTTATAGTAGAATTAAATATTAATAATAAATTAAATTAATAATTATTATTTCATAATTAAAATTATAAAGAAACCTGATTTTTGAAATTTAAAACATGTTTTGGTATTTTTGAAATATGTAAAAATAAACACCTTATTTATGTATTCTTCCCATTTTAAAAGTTTATTTCAGGAAAATAGGTCACTACGTGTCCCACTAGTTTAACTCACGGGGAAATTGAATCAATTTCAAACAAAATATAAACTCGTCAATCGGTTGAGCTTGAATTCGAACAAGTTCATTAATTTACACTAATTATCGCAAAAATTAGTGTAGTAGTATTGATAATATGGATAATATTAAACACATGTCCCAAAATAACATGGCATGTGGAGGGTAGCCAGCCAGTCAACTTGCCATGCAAGCAGGCTCCATGACCTATTCTGACATCTTTTGAGAGAGTCTGTTTGAACTTGATCTTAGACGATGCACCTTATAATTGCTTGGACTCCTCGAATCGACCCAAAACTTTCGGGTATTTAATAAATGGAATCGTTGGATCCAAATATAATTATGAAACCGTTCGGGTTCGATTCCGTTTGATTGGGTTCAGTTCCATTTGGTTCCGTACCATAATTAAATTTTTTAATATTTACAGCGATACTACATAAATACAACTAACGCATTTCATTCGTAACTTTTACAAATTAACGTAGTTCAATTCAAAAATATATAAATAACTAGCCGTCCAATAGGATTAATTCAATGCATACAAATANACACCCCTAATTAAGTTGGTAGTAATATCCGGCTGTATTGGTGGCCGGAATGAGGTGGAAATTGGGTTCATAACTGACGGCTAGGAGATTAAGAGAGTTTTTTTTGGTTTCTTTTTAATATTTTTATAAGTTTTGGACTCATTTGCATTTTTAGAAAAATCTAGGAGTAATATTGCAATTTATTCTGTATTTTTCTTTTGTTTTGTTTTTGTTTTATTTTAATAAAGGGTAAAATAGTCAAAAATTGGGGAAAATGACGTTTTGCGCCAAAAATGTGAAAGATATGGACGTTTTGCGCCAAGAAATGAAACATATGGACGTTTTGTACAAAACTCGTCAAAGGTAGAGACGTTTTGCGCCAATTACCCATATTAATATTACAGCAACACTATATAAAGTCAATTCATTTGTTTCGAACAGCCTGCCTGCATAAAGAAAATGAAATATAAATTAAAAGTTATAAAAATAAAATAATTTAATTAATTCAATATAAAAAATAAAAAAAATTTATTTAATTTTGGTTCTTGGTCTAGATCCGACTCAAATTCATCGATTCTCGATTCGAATACCCGTTCAAGTATTTAATTTATCAAGAATTACACGATTCGATTTGAGATTTTTGGACTACCCAACATAAAAATATTGTGTCAATTCAACCCTTTCATTCTGTTGCTATCTTGTCCTGGTCAAGAAATTTCCGCTGAAAGCTCTTATTACCAATGGCGTTGCTCTTCTTCCAAGTTCATTAAGCTTCCCCCAACCCACCTGCTGGAAGATAAAAATATCCAAAATTCCAAGTCAAAATCCCCTAAAACTCGTTCCGATTAATTTCTTCGTTTTTCTTTTGTGAAATGGATTCTCCACCCAAGAAATCATTCTCTGCATCGTCGTCGAGTATGCTGGCGCCGGGTTTCCGATTCCATCCGACGGACGAGGAGCTCGTGCGTTACTATTTACGGCGAAAAGTCTGCGGGAAGTCCTTCCGATTCGATGCTATTTCAGATATCGATATTTACAAGGCCGAACCTTGGGATCTCCCTAGTAAGCCATGCCCTTCTAGAATCTTCTTTTCGTGATTTATATTTCTTTCTTTTTTGTTTAAGAATTTGTTTTTTTATTGTTTCAGTTTCGTAGTTAGAACCAGGAACTCTTTATTATACTTTGACTGTAATTTTCATGCGGGTATTGTTGTTTTATATAATTATCTAGTTTGGCATTCAACTTTATGTTCAATTTTCCATTTTTTTAGGGTGTAATCTATTTCTGTAGTGAACTATATGGAAAAGATTTTTACCGATCTGATTCTTGGAATGAGTAATATACTAACTGGCCTTTGTTTTGTCGTGTCATTTTTGAGGTTTTATTTGATATTGGTCAACTTATGATGGATAGTAGTAACTCTATCTTGAATTTTGCAGGACTATAATTTCTCTCACCTTTTATCCCCTACAAAAATGAAAATCGTCGAAATTTTTTTGAGCACGTGATTGGAAAATGAAAGCAAAGTGATGTGTATGTTTTAGATTTATCACTTAATCATGTTTATTTACCCCAACTCAATTCGTTTCCATTGAACCAAAACATGAGAATAGGAGTTCCTCAAATTTTATCCCGTTTCCCACTTAAATGCACGATCACATGGAGGCTTAGTGAATTTTCAAGTATCATGTCACCTGTTTTCTTTTAGCTGACTCTTTCTATCAAGATCAACCATCTGTCCATGCAAATAAGTAGCATATATTCTACCTCCATTGAGGCCGTATACACCACTAACTTAGCATTTGTATATCTTATCTTCTGATGTTTACAAGTTTTTTCTTAAATATGATGGGTTCTAGGCATGTCAAAGCTAAAGACTAGAGATTTGGAGTGGTATTTTTTCAGCGTACTTGACAAGAAGTATGGGAATGGATCAAAGACCAACCGGGCAACTGACAAAGGATACTGGAAGACGACAGGGAAGGACAGGGCTGTCTACCATAAATCAGAGATTGTTGGCATGAAGAAAACACTCGTTTATCATAGTGGCCGGGCTCCAAAGGGTCTAAGGACTAACTGGGTTATGCATGAGTACAGGCTCATTGATCTGGAGTTGGAGAGAGCTGGAATTGTTCAGGTGGGGGCGCGTGATTATTTATCTCAATTCTTAATTATTATCGTGCTTTGACTTAAAGATTTATTTTCTTTTGACAGTAGTATGCATTATTGAATGTTCAAGAAACCCGAAGAAAACAGATGATGGGTGTGTTCTGAAGGAAAAAATAAAGGAAAAGTATATGAGTAATTATCTGAGGATTTGGATGTCGGAGTAAGTTTAAGCCAACCGTAAATGAAAAAAAAAGGTCCGAGTTTGAGTCTTTCTGAAATGGTATCTAGAAATATTAAACTTGGGAAGATATCACGATTTATAGCCATTATTACTATGCTACTAGCATATTAACCAAAAAAGAAAAAGAAGTCGGAATTTGAGTGTTTGAATTGAGAAGCATTGAACTTGAGATGAAATTGCCATTTTTATATTTATTATTATTGTTATCATTATAGTGCTTGGATTGTTATTTATTTTTACTTGAATAACCAACATTAGCTTCTCATCATAGTCATTCGAAGAGAACTGATGTAGGTCAATTATTTTCCAAATAGGATTGATTTGATCTCCTTTTATTCTTCTTTCTTGTTTAGAATATGATTTCTTTTTTCTTTCTTATTTAGTATATAATTTCTTCTTCTTTCTTGATTAGAATAGAATTTATTCTTTCTTTTAGATTATGATTTTATTTTTCTTTCCTCTTCATTGATATTCTTGACCTATTTCTATATTAATTTTTTATAATCTCTGTATGTTTTGGTGGAAAAGGATGCATTTGTACTGTGCCGAGTATTTCAAAAGAGTGGTTCGGGGGCGAAGAATGGTGAGAAGTATGGGGCACCATTTGTGGAGGAGGAGTGGGAGGATGACGAAGTGGAAATGGCTACCAAGGAAGAGGCTGTGGAGGAAGTGGATTTTGGGGATGATGCCTATTTGGACAGCCATGACCTTGAGCAGGTTTGTACTTGTTTACCATCATGGATTGTTTTCAAATAAGTTCCTTATTTCTCACATGCAAAAGAAAACGCCAGACAACAGAACGGTTTCAAGGGTTTGCCTACATGAAAATTGATGGAAATTTTAGAGCATTTAACAATTACATATAAATGAATAAAAAAAAACAAGCATCCAAGTAAAATATGCCCAGCGATCCTTGAATTCATTTACCTTGAAAGTCAGAGCCATAATTTTGGAGTTTTATACTAATTTTTCTGGAGGTAAAAAGTGGAAACGGTCAAGTATCTTACAGAAATATGATAAGGATCTTCATATGCATTTTCCTTAAAAAGGTGGAGCTTCAAAATTTTGTACACTGATATTTTTATCGAGTTTGGATTTAAACGACAGTGGAGATATAATTGACAACTGAAATTGAGAAGAATAAAGATTCTTGTATGAGCTTTTGTTCACGAAACACAGTATATTGGTATTGTATTTCTTTGATACATATTAGCCAATGGTGGAAGTCTTTTGTTGTGCATTCTTCAGTTTGCAGTTGTGGTTTTGTTTCATCTTCTCCTTGCATAAAATCCACCCTATTGTTATTAGAAATATATAGAGATTGAAGTTTCCAAGAAATGATATATAACATACTTGATTATGTAAACTTATATTACTGCTCTGCATCTAACTACACCTTTAATTTCAGAGAGAGAGAGAGAGAGATTGCACCTTTATTTCTATCACCTAGTAGTTCCCCCAATAAAGAAAATCATTGAGCTTGAATGGATTTATTATTGAGTTTGTAACTCCAATTTAGGTCATTTTCTTTCAGTATCCTAAAGCATTAGTTGAATGACACGTGGTCTTGTTCTTGCAAATAAGAAATTGTATCCAGTGCTATGTTATTGGAATATAATTAAGTTATTATTTTAGGCTGTATTTGACCAATCTCACCCAGAGAAGCCTCTGAGTCTACAATGAGCTTCTTGATCTTATGGTAGAATGCTTCTTTTTGCCAGATTCTTGGAACAGACGTTACATCGGATGTTGCTCCCCTTCCATTGAATTTTTACACTGTGGAAGATGGCAGCAATGGAAAGGAATTCTCGACCACAGTTGATGCCCAAAAGCTCTTGTTGGGTGTCCCCAAACATCAGTGTGAGCCAGAGCAACCTGATGATACGAGGTTATTTGGTATGCCCGATTCATACTATACTGATGGAAAACCACTCAAACATGAATATATTGGAGAATCAAGCAAGACTGGGAATTCTGAGGAAGTGGATTACTTGCTTGATGAACCTTGGCTTGATACTTTTGATAACATTCAATGTGGTGATGAAGGATTCATTGAAACTAATGATCTCTCTAATCCTGTTGGAGATGATACTTCTACTTTTGACATGCTCGAGGAGTACCTTGCATTCTTTGATGCTGAAGATGGCAACCCACAATATTTCCCGGATGATCCTTCAAAGATGGCAGGAAGTGAGGACCTTGTTTCTGATCAAGCATTCCTTGTTCAGAAGGTGGCTGTAGACTTTGAACTTGTGTTTTTTAATGTTTCACTTTACAATATTGGTACAGAATTTAATTTGCTAATATGTGCCAGAGTATAAACGAGCCAACTCAGCAAGATACTACATCAAGCAGACAATTCTTCGACAGTAATAATGACTATGATGCTGAACCATCCTCTACGAAAGAATCTGCGAAATTTGAATCAGGTAAGAAAGATCATGCAAGTTAGAACAAGCAGTCTTGCACCTGGAATTTCATCAGAGGCTGGCTCTCCTGCCGTGCTATTCGATAATTTATCAATTACTTTCTCTCTGATTCAATTTGAGTATAATTTGTAATTGTGCAGATTTTCAGTATCCATTCACCAAGCGGGCAAGTCTCATGTTGGGCAGCATCTCTGCTCCTCCAGCATTTGCTTCAGAGATTTATCCGAAAGATACTGCTCTTCGTTTCAATTCTGTATCTCAATCTTCCAGTTCAGCACATATTACTGCTGGCATGATTCAGTTACGAAATTTAACCATGGCTGGAAATGGGGCAGACAATTCATTTGGCAAGGATGGAAACTTCAACATTGTTCTTTCTTTTGGTGCGTCACAAGGTTCTGATGGTTCTGCAAGCTTGGAATCTCGTGTTACACTTCCCGGAAAGACACTCTCAGCAATTGCTAGGGGCTGGTTTTACTTCATTTTCCTATGGGCCCTAATTTTCTGCATGAGCTTCAAAATCGGGACCTTTGCATGTGCGAGTTGAAGTGTCACCAGTAGGAAATATATGTCACACCCAAAAACCGTAGCCTGGGTGAAAACTTGTTGGTAGACGTAGTTGTTATTCTCCTCAAATTGATACTAAGCTACTATATATGCATGATTTTTTATTTTGTATCTTATATTTAAGTCTTTTACAAGTGTGTTGGATGCTTCCTTCCGTAGGCTGACACTGTTCTGCTCTCAAATGTGAGACAGCTTCTCCTTCGGAAGCATACCAATTTTCATACTTCCATCTGTATTTCCACTTTAAAAGTTGGTTTATATCTTTGACTAGATTTTAATTTGATGATTTTGATGACCAAATAGGTTGATGCGAAATATCTTGGATAGATGCTGATGGTAGTGGTACTGTTAAATTCTCTTTTTATTGGCTGCTAAATTTTAAAAAAAGAATATATTTTTATTCTTTTGTTCTTGTAGTAGATAAACTTGATCTCAATTCGAGTTCAACATTGTATGCACACAAGAGGTTAATATTGTCCATTTCTGTCTAATCTACCTAAACAAACAAAGACTATTTAATCACCCAAGAGGTGCGATTCATGATAACCATTGTTCACGAGCAAATCGAGAGTGCTGCATATTCTGAACTGGAACATCCAGAAAAGAGCTGCAGGATGGAAAAATGGGAGAATTCTACTACAAATATAAAGGTTGAGCTCAATGGAGCATGGCCGACAAATTTTGCAAATGGATAAAAAATGCCCTTTGAACTAGATGAATTATTGGTATGCTGCACGCTATTCTATATAATCAAAAGTTCTTAATTCCTTTCATTGAGTGAAGCCAGAAGCTCTTTGCGGTACCTGCAGGATTCTTGAAGAAGCCTTGTCTAGTGGCTTCACATTTCTCCTGGGAGCATAGTGTCGCCAGGAAGATCACATACAGCAATACCCTACGAATAAGAAAGACATTAATATGGCTTCTAGAATTTGAAGAGGAGAATGCAATTTCTGGAAATCTTTGTACTTACCTCCCCTGTAAGATGGGCTACACATCTCTTTTCAGCCAGCAGTTCGGTTTCTGTCTGCAAAATAATACACGTTAGTATATAAAGTTTACATCAACCTTAAAGGCCGTGACACGGGGCAGTTTAAATGTTTAGTAAAATAACCATGCTTTGAATTACAGCAGCCTGTTCGCCTTATAACTAAGAATACAGATACATGCCTGAACGAAAATTCGAAGTCCAGCAGCATGTTTGGTTAAGCTTAAAAAGAGTAAAATTATTTTTTGTGACAGTTGTAAAGATTTTGCTATCAAAAAATTATACTTTTATCTGATTAAAAAAAAAACCTGAAACATATGAAAAGAAGGACAAATTAGTTGGATAGACATGTCTTATGTATGCCTAAAGAAGTTAAAAGAGGAAAAGTGGGACAATAATTAAGATGGTCTGTTTTCGTTTATTTACAACTAGTTGCATTCAATATCTCAGTGGATCTAGTGATAAATAGAATTGAGATAAACGTAACTAAGGCAAAAAAAAAAGAAAAAAAAGAAGTTTGTGTAGCCAACCCCATATTTCTTCGAAATAAGATTTATATGGTTATATATTTAGTATATGGAATCCCGGTTTCTGATAGAGTTATAGACTATAATCATGAATAAAGATTACACAGCTAGTATATAAAAACATACCTTTTTTATTCGGCTGCGAAGGTAGTCATCAATAATTACGTCCTTAACAAGTTCATAATCACCATCTCCCTAAGAATTAGGAATGATAAGTAAGATGAAATCCATAACAAAAGCTTGAGCAAAGAAAATGTTATTAGAAAGGAAATCTTTGGAGACGCTTACTTTTGATCTGCATGGCATACTGAAAACAATATCCTCTGCTATACCATATGGATTTCCGGCAGTGTACACCTTAAATTTCATTTAGATTTAAGAAAAAAAACGATATTAACAAACATCAACAGCTACTCTGCATGGAGAATCGCAAGTGCTCAATACAGAAAGTATAAATGGTTTTACATAAAAATTGCACTGGCTGTTTTCAGTTCAAGGAATCTATAGAATGTAGTAAATTGAATCTCTTAACACTACCTAGTTGATAAATATGGTAGGCCTAGTCAGAGAGCCATCAGGTAGGATCATTTGACCACCTCGTATTTCTATTTTGTAACTAATTGTGAAAAGATGTTCGAATGTGATAGTACAGGTTAAAATAAGTTAGTTCTTGAAAAAAACACTAATATTAATTGATCTCATATTTTGAAAATTTTCATACTGATATGTAAAATTGAACCATGAATTCAAGTCGTTACGAACTTACTCCTGAAGAAAACCAATCTCCCTTGGGAGTAGGAGTTACGAGAGACCTTATTGCATCCACAATCGACACAGCAGTTGATGCAGCGGAAGATCGTCCCCATTTCTTAATAAGAACACCACCTCTCTGAAAATCAAATTTGAATATAATGAATTACCGACTTCAGTATATTTCATATACCGCGCTGAAACAAGAAACTCTAGTTGGAGATCTCACCTTCTGAACCTTTTCTGTGAACTCTTCTTCTAACCATTTAGTATCTTTGATAACCTCTTTGACGGGTATGCCATTGATTTTAGCATTTAAAAAGTCTGGAACCTGTTAATATAAACCGCATAGTTTAACAACGAGACTATGTGTTGAACCACCTCATCTAAAAACCTAAGCTGTTAGAGAAGGAAAAACAATTATTTAGTTAAAATATGTTTTTGACACACCCTTCGTGTGTAGGTCAAATTCATTTTTTTCATAAAAAATATGCCATGTGTACAATTTTCATAAATGAGTAGTGAATCCGAGGGCTTCTGCCTACTGTGTTAAACCACCTCATATAAAAGATCAAGCCGTTAGAGAAGAGACAAACTACTTTTTTTAAATAATGTCTTCAACAAAATGTTCTACAATGAAGAATGACCTGAGTGGTCGAGTGGTTCCCCCAAATTGTCACATTAGATACTTGATCATAGAAAACTCCTGCTTTTAGAGCCAGCTGCATAAACCATCAAAACATGGGGTGAAGTTCATTCATTTCCTTGATCAAGACAAAAGGTAAATAAGAAAACGAATTTTCTCAATACGGTTGGCTAACCTGACATTTTGCCCTATTTTCATCTAATCTAGTCAGAGCGTGGAAATTTTTTGCAGGAATATTTGGAGCATTTTTCAAACAGATCAATGCACTTAAAAGGAAAGAAAAATAATTAGTAAGGCATCAATGGAGGTAAAAAAACTTGGCATCAAGCAAAAGAGTAATATAGTATTACTTTGTATTGCATGGATTCCCCACCACCACAACTTTGACATTCCGGGATGCAACAGCATTGAGAGCTTTTCCCTGCGAAATTTATCAAAAAAGTATAACTATTTGTTTACGATTTGAGAACTAAAATTATGAGGATTCATAAACATGAAAATGCCTAACATCTGTTGATGTTCAAGAAGAAGAAGACACCTGCTCAGCAAAAATTTGCCCGTTTATGTCTAGTAAGCCAGCCCGTTCCATTCCAGGGCCACGAGGTTTTGCTCCAATCAGAAGTGCCCAATCTGCATCTTGGAACACTTCATAAGCATCGATGCCAATGCTCACTTCCCTCAACAAAGGAAACAAGGAGTCCTCAAGTTCCATTGCAACGCCTGAATTTTGGTACAATATTAAGTAGCAGAAATGCAGTAATTGCAATCTTGAAAACTAAAATGTTTAGCGGACAGTGCAGTCAGCTGCCAGCATTTATGTATGACATCGCAGGTGGAAAGTTTACTAGACCATATGAAGTATGAAGAATTTGGTATCAACTCCAAGATTATAGTATAATGACTCTCTCATCAGTTTAAACAAAAATAGTTTTGGAACTTCAACTATGCAAGAAACTACACAATTTGTTGCTCCATAATTCATATTTGCAATCTTTTTGGATGGGATAGTGAGATACACTACTTAAAAAAATACCTTCGAGAGCTTCGAATGATCGCTCAGATCCCAATAGTTTTAATGCAATAGGTTGATCTGGCCCAAACACCTCACCAGAAGCTAGCTGCCAAAATAGAACAAGTTCTAATCATAAAGTAAACATCGTGGAGAATTGCAGAGTTTTGTGCTGCTCCTATAGGGACAAAATCCAGAAATTTAGATGTCATAATGATGATGCAATCATTATGTTAATCGTCAGAATGACTAATTAATTTTAACCACATTCTTGGATAGAAGGCAATTTTCTTTTGATACAAAAAGCCTCCATGTATTTTTATTCCATTATTGTATTATTATAAGCAGCAGGGGATACCCACAGCAGGATATGAAGCCTCCATATGTTAAGAATAGGAATTTGACAATTTCATGGGACTAATTGCATTTTTGGCTATTCTGTGATTTCACTTATAAGCAAATAAGTTCTTAAACAAATAATTATTTTGTTAGTCAGAGTTGGAAATTATACATTTACTTATTTTACCCTAACCTTACTATCAAAACAACTAACATTGTTTACTTACAGTAGGAAAAAAGTAACATATTCAAATATGTTTGGAAACTAAAATTTACCAAGTTGGACTTACTTATAAGATTAGCCAAACATGAAGTATAGATGCTTACAATGTTTAGGATGATCTCAACTCAACAAGATTAAAGAAAAACACTTTTTACCTTGAAAAGGAGATGGTTGGAAATCATTCCGGCTGCACCGGAGACAGCAATATTAATCATTTTCTTCCAAGACTTTGTCTCCTCTTCCTGTGAATACATTATATCAGAAAAAATTGAATGAACATATTAATTAAAAGAAACGCTTGCCCCTTCCAAAATTTAATAGGCACGAGTTCATTCTTTCTCGGCCCCTTTTCTATCTTTTAATATATTAAATATCTCATAGTTTTATCAAAGCTTCTCTTTCCTGTTCTGCATCAATTACCCAAGGCTTACTATAGGCAAAAGTTCAAAAAGACTTGAGTAGAATCACAAAATAAGTAAAATAAAGCCCATGTATTATTGG